GTATTTGTCAGAATTCCACTGCTTTTAAAGCTGTGGGCATGTGTACACCACAATTTGTTTATTCCTTTATCCACTGATGGGCATTTGGGTTGTTTCCACCTTTTGTTAACAATACTGTTAACAATACTGCTATAAACCTGTTCAAGTGCCTGCTTTCCAATTTTGAGGGTATGTACATTGAAATAGAACTGTTGGATCATGTAGTAATTCTATATTTAATTTTTTGAGCAACAGTCGTACTATTTTCTACAGAGGCTGCACCTTTTTACATTCCACCTGGAATCTGATTTGAACACAAACACTTAGAAATCTTTACCTAACAAAGTCAATGGCTTCATATGGAAACATTAAACAAAATATAACTTTTATTTATTTTAGTAATTTGTACATATTGATGCCTCCTCAGGAGCTGCAGAAAGATACTTTTGCTTAAGATCTTGCTATGTGATACTAGACACTACTTTAAGTTACTTTCAGAGAGCAAATCAGTCCTTTCAATATCCTGTGGAACATCATTCTGATTTCAGATAGGTAAATGAGATTCATGAGGGTGATGGAACTTTTCCAAGATCATGTGTAGCTATTAAATGAAGACAGTAGGATTCAAAGTCCATGACTTACAAGTGTTGTTAGACTCTTAATCATCTAAAACTATTTGTCTTTTTATTAACTATCTCCAAACTAATATAGCACACTTTTAGAAAATCTGTGTATGTCATTTAATTTGCTTTCCCTTCTGGAGGTGCTCCTTGTGGTAATAAAGCACCCACCTCCTGTCATTTTCTTCTCTCCAACCCACATGATGCTACTGATATCCTGTCACCATGAAAAACAGATAAAGAAGAAAGTTAAAACGATGTAAAAAGTAAAAGTACACTGGTTTGAGAGAGATTTGAGGGGTCTATATAAGGATAAAAATGTAAGAATTTAGCCGAAGCCGGTTTGGCTCAGTGGTAGAGCGTCGGTCTGCGGACTGAAAGGTCCCAGGTTCGATTCCGGTCAAGGGCATGTACATTGGTTGTGGGCACATCCCTGTTAGGGGGTGTGCAAGAGGTAGCTGGTCAATGTTTCTCTCTCATTGACATTTCTAGCTCTCTATCTCTCTCCCTTCCTCTCTGTAAAAAATCAATAAAATATATTTTAAAAAATGTAAGAATTTACATATTTGAAGTGCATGGTATCTCTTTTGGTAGTTCAATAAACTATTTTGCCTTTTTTCTGGCTGTGTGTGTGTGTGTGTGTGTTCCAGATGATGAGACTACTTAAAAAAAAAAAAAAAATATATATATATATATATATAGTTATTGATTTCAGAGAGGAAGGGAGAGGGAGAAAGAGAAACACCAATGATGAGAGAGAATCACTGATCAGCTGACCGGGAATCAAACTATGACTGCACACTGGCAGGACCCGAGTATGTAATACTTTTACGAATGAATAGGAGTGCTTAGTCTTACTCATACTTACATTGTGTAATTTAATGTGGCTTATTTTTTTTTAAAAAAAGCTTGCCTCAAAGTAATAAATATCCTTTCTATGTCTGATATTCTCTTTTCTTAAATGTCTATTGAATATTTCAAAGAAAGAACCAAGAAAAAAGGTTTTAACATTGAAAGCATCTGGGTATATCTAGACTATTTAAACTACAGGCCCAGTGAGTACTGTTTATAATGCCCACCAATACGAATATCTTGGCACAATGTATTTATTATATGTCATAGACATTTTCTGGAAAGAACAGATAAGTGTTTCTTTCTTATGTAACATGTTTATTGTGAAATGCTGAAAGTCAAGCCTTCTTTCCAATGAAATAGGAGAGGTCACTAGTTAAATAAAACAATGAGTCCTGTGTGTCAAAAGCCTTTCATTTAAAGTAAATTATCATTATGTCACCCCTTCCACATCACCGGCTAATATTCTAGAAATTGACATTTCTTAAAGGATTCTTTTCCACATCTCTAGCACTTTCCTTAAGAAGTGAATATAACAGTTGTAAAGGTGAGAGGAAAATGTTCACTCAAAAAGGAGAAATAAATAAAAGTTTCTTTAGAGAAGCTGTAGCAGCCCAGATTCCCTTAGGTGTTGTAATGAGTGAGAGGTAATGTAATTTTGTACTACTAGGTTGAATTTCCATCTAAATGTTCCAAGCAACCTTATTCAACAAAATCGGGGAGGGGGTGTTGGGATAAGATAAAGGAAACAGAACCACATTCCCAAAGATTGGAATTAGTTAAAAGGAATAGCACATTCACAATTTCCTGACTGGTTGGTTAGAGCTGAAAGAAATAAACATAGTCGCAGGGTTACTTTACTTCCTTTAAGATTATGTTCCCCAAATCTAGAGGTTTGATATTATAAAATGTTCACTGGACTCCAAGATTTAATCATTTTAACACTGACTGCCTGCCAAAACAGTAATTCTGTCAATATCAACAAATACACTCAAATTCTGATAATGAGGAAATTAAAATTTTGGGGAATTGTTTATACCTCAAATGTATTATGCTGGACCTTACAGATGTACTATAACGCTCTTTGTTTTTGTCACATAAAGGAGGGGCTATTCTCTCTCTTTTTATCAAAACCCAACCTCTACTAAACACAAAGTCCTGCGCAAATTATGATTCCTGGGAGTGGGTCGCTATTCTCCACCATTTGCTTTTTAAAATTCCTACTACTTGCCTCTGCCGCTCATTTTAATATTGCCTCAATATTGTCTGAAAGTCGTCTGTAATTTTTATACATAGGTTTTTATTGTTTTGTTTTGTTATGTGTTGATCCTCACCAAAGGATATTTTTTTCCATTGACTTAGAGAGAGTGGAAGGGAGAAGGAGAGACCGAGAGAGAGAAACATCAATGTGAGAGAGAGAATGGATTGGTGGCCTCCTGCTAAAGCCCCCAACCAGGGCTGGGGATGGAGTCTGCACCAAGGTACATGCTCTTGACCAGAACCAAACCCATGACCCTTCAGTCCACAGGCTGATGCTCTGTCTACTGAGCCAAACCAGCTAGGACTGTTTTATTGTTCTTAAGTGTCACCCATATTAACTAAGATAGACTGATTGTATAGTGAATTTTAAGCAACTTTTTTTTTTCTAATCAATTAATAATCAGAAAAAAAATAATTTATTGGGAGTGGAGCCTTCTTTAAGGCTAATATACACATGGGAAACTAGAGCAATAAACCAGGTGAATTGCAGACAAGGCCCAGCAGCATAGGTCTGGAGATACTAAACATTCTCCCAAAAGGGGGAAAAAAAATGCTATCTAGAAGGAACTAAACTTATTGAAGCCAATATACACTCAAAAATTGAAAAATCTTAACTGAAGAGTTTTATCACGGCCACAAAATATTTTAGGAAACTTAAGGAAACCTCTGAATGGAATAAGTGATGTTTGTGGAAACAAAAATTAGAGGGTTTAACAAGCATATAGAATGAAATTGAGAATAGAGTTGAAAATGTACTTGTTAGGTCTAATCAAACAATCCAATCGATATCCCCCCTCCCCTGGGAAACTGACCTTTAGACACTTCACAACCGACATTCCCTTTCCCTTAGACCACATTCTATTTGCCGAGGTGAGTAACTTTCCCCTCCAGACTTGCCCAGGATCCAGATCAGACAGGCCGGAGAATTTCCCTCAGAAAAAGCCCTTTAACACCCCTGGGCGCTGGTACCATTTTGGGGCACAGCCCATCTGGTCTCCAGATGATCTAATAAATTCATAATTCTTTACCACATTTGACCTCGTGCGTTCCTCCTTTGGTGACCATAGCACTACTATGTTATAATAGAAAGTTAGTAAATGTATTCTATCAGAAGTTTGGGCTATACTTCAAGGTTTCCAGCTGAAAGAAAACAGTTTAAGTGGGGTAGGGGAGAGGAAGGGAGAGAAAAAGGAAGGAAGGTAGAAAAAAAAGATTTAAAAAAAAATCTAGAGTTTAAGAAATAATATGACAGATGTATAACATTTCACTGAAACTGACAGCAAAATTATGAGTTGGCCCCTAAAGCATCTGTAGTTTTGTTTTAAATGATTAAGGTGAAATACATCAGGTTATGGAAAATGGGGAGGGTTTCCAGCAGTGGGCCAGTATTCTAGGTGATGGATGTGATGAGCAATTCCCTTAAACAACTGCCAACAGAGAAAAAATTAGAACACATCCTGAAATCCATCTGCAATTACGATTACAAGGGTGGCTGGCCGCTCGGTCCACCTTCCCCTCCCTTCCCAGAGCCCTGACCCTGCTGTGCCTGGCAAATACCTTCACAAAAACGCCTCCAAAAAACAACACCTCCTTCCCATAAACCCCTTTCCTCTGCCCTAAAAATCAGAATAAACCCCCGTTACTCTGTTTTCCAATAGCTTCCTTTCTCCCTCTCTTTCCCCCCCTTCCACCTTTTCTTTCTTCTTTCCCTCCTGCCCTCTCTCCCTGCTTTTCTTTCTTCTGAAATCAATGCTTTTTAAAAACAAAACAACAACAACAAAAAAAAACTACACATAGGACAACCCTGCTGCACTAGAAATCCATCCAGGCTCTCAGGTGAGACTGTCAGACACAGGCATTGGCAACCACCATCTGGCACCTGGGATCCTGGCCACTTTGCATCGCTCAGAGGTAAGAGGGGCGGGAGGGAAGAACGCAGAGCTGATGTGACCCAGTTCTTGGGAAACTTTCAGCCGATCCCAACCGTCCCTCAACCCGAAACTCTTGACTCATCCATCCAGCCAGAAGAATACAAGGACCTCTGCCTAGCCTTTGGACCTGGAACAGAGGCTAAGCAAGACAAAGCAGGACCCAGAGGAGGTCAGTTAGCATCTTTGCCTCACCGCCGCCCAGCCACAGCGGACGCAGAGCCGCCGCGCGGCCGGCAGGGGCCGCTGTTTACCCGGAGCAGCGCCCAGCAGCGGCCGCGCCCGCACCTCCCACTCCCTCCCGGCCCGGCCCCGCCAAGTCCCCGCAGCCCCCAGCCGGGCGAGCGCCGGGAGCGAGCACCGCCCGGGAGCGGGAGCAGCAGCAGCAGCAGACGGCGCAGACCAGCCAGGCTGCAGCGCGAGTCAGAAAGGCTCCTGGGAAACTCTCACCGGCCGGCCGGGGCCACTTGGGTAGGAGGAGAAAGAGAGCGCGAGCAGCTCCGGGACGCGCAAGTCTGCAAGTGAGTGCTCCGGCTCGGCACCTGTTCCTCCCGCGCCTCCGCCGTCCCCACCCCTCGGACCGACCCGCGCCTCCCCGGCGCCCGCCCCGGCGATGAACCCCGCGCTGGGCATGGGCAACCAGACGGACGTGGCCGGCCTGCTCCTGGCCAACAGCTCCGAGGCGCTGGAGCGCGCCGTGCGCTGCTGCACCCAGGCGTCCGTGGTGACCGACGACGGCTTCGCCGAGGGCGGCCCCGACGAGCGCAGCCTGTACATCATGCGCGTGGTGCAGATCGCCGTCATGTGCGTGCTCTCGCTCACCGTGGTCTTCGGCATCTTCTTCCTCGGCTGCAACCTCCTCATCAAGTCCGAGGGCATGATCAACTTCCTGGTGAAGGAGCGGAGGCCGTCCAAGGAGGTGGAGGCGGTGGTCGTGGGGCCCTACTGATCGGCCGCCCGCCCGCCCGGCCGCCCGCCCCGCGCCTCCCCGCCTCGCCGGCCCGGCCGCGCCCCCTGAACGACCGTCCCGAGCCTGGGGCGAAGCAAACCTGTCGGAGTCCATTCTTTCTCTCGACTTCTGATTTCTGCCTTTCGGGGATGAAGCGACCTGTTTCCTCGCTCGATCTTGGGAAAAGTCCCCGCTCCTGGCTGTCGGAGGAGAGCGCCCGGACTCTATAGACTGAGCAGCGAGTGGCGAGAAGAGAAGGAGAGGAGGGCGCACACACTTGGGGAGCTGCCGCGAGCTCGGGATGCAGGGGAAACCGACGGGGCAAAAAGGCTCTTCTCCGCCCGCAGGTGGGCCAGGCTCCGGGGGCAGGTGGAGAGGGCGGGCAGGGGAGAGATCCCGCAGCACCCACCGCCCGCCCGATGGCCTGCGAAGGGACCCGTGCAAGGCTCCAGGAACAAAACTCATGAGGACACAAATCCGTGTCCGGATTCTCTGCCTTTCCTCCCAGCCCAGACGGGAGAGGCGATACATACTTTTGCTTGATTGCAACGTGCCGTTTTAAGTTTTTGTTTGTGTGTGTGTGTGTGTTTGCTTGAATGTAAATATTTTATAACTCGTTTTTTTTCTGCCCTAGTGACCTGTTTGCCTGTCCTGGAGTTAAGGGTTTTGTCGTCGTGGGGAAAGGGTGGGGGAGGGGAGCTTGCGAATGTGAACGGGGTGAGTTGTTTCTTTTATTTCATCCACAACTGGGTCTTTGAAGTGGGCTCCAGCTGGCCCCCCGCAAAGACCCGAAGTAGAACTCTGTATGTAGCTCGTGACTGCACGATTTATGCCACAAAAGTGCTCTTGACATTCGTGACACCGTTTTGACTCTCCGCCCCCCTCCTCCCGTGTTTAACATTTCCTTAATAAATGCAATATTTAAGTGTTTTGTTTTGTTTTTCTCTGGTCTCTTGGTCGTCATTGTGCGCTCCCTGCAAAAGGGAACAGGCAAGGAGTCTGGTTGCCGGTCCAGGGAATTCGCTTTGGAGAGCTGTGATTCTTCTACTTGTGGTTCCCACCGAGGGATGAGGTGGCGTTGAGACAGAGAGGCCTGAGGCCAGTGAGACGTGGCCAAACCTCAGGCACTGGAGGCAGCAGCCTTTGTCTCCTCGGACAGTTAATATTTCATATTTCATTTAGGCTCAGCTCTTCAGCCAGGCGAGAGGACAGGAGGGCCCAGTGGGAACATTACACTTCCCTGCAGGCTCAGGCTGCAGGGACACAGGGTTACTCTGCTAATGAAAGCAGGAGAGGGCTTGGCCAGCCTTCAGGGAGGGTGTCTTTCCCCTGAGCGACCAAAATCATCAAGAAGGCATCAGGATGCTGCTAAAAAAAAATAAAAATAAAATGATAAATAAATAAATAAATAATTATTGAAATGTGAGGAAAGGTAGCTGCTAAACAGTACATAGTGACGTTAATTCTCCCTGGGGTAAGCCATTGTTACAAAAACAGGGGATGCATTGTCTTTGCCAAATTAACCATTTTCTAGAGGAAGGATGAGATTTAAAAAGAGACCAGCCTCCTCCCACTCCCCTGCTTGTTAGTTTACAGTAATTAAGCCCAGGCCAGGAAGAACAGTCCAAGGGGGCTTAGCTTTCAGGTTCTGAAAGTCAGAGATGCGGATCACAGCCCATGCTGAGAAAGTGGGGCCAGAGGGGAGCTACAGATGGTCTTGGGCACAGTCAGGGCTCAGAAACTGAACAGTTATGAAAAATAGAGAAAACTGTGAATGTGACTCTTCTCACCAACCCCCCTGCGCGCCCCCCCCCCCCCCAATAAAAAAAAGGATACAATAGCTTCAAGCTTGAACTTGGCAAGAAGTTTTGAGCAGTTTATTTTTATGCCCGTGTTAGGGTCCTCTGCTATATGATAGCAATTGAAGACTTCACAGTAGCAGACACAAAACTAAAACCTTAACAACAACCCAGTGCCCCTTTCACTTGGGAAGAAGCACAACTGGTGTAAACAGCCTCAGTGACTCAGAGGGTTGGGATCAAGAGGTTTGAATGTTCTTTAACATCCTGCCCACTATTAAGTGTCTACTTCATTCTCAGAGTAAATCTTGCCAGGAACTATGACCTAGAATAATTTTTTGAATGCTAAATAGTGTCAGGCTTGGTGGTGTGTCTATTGTCTTCAGCAGGTGCGGGCTGGCTTGCTTTTTGTGTTTGCTTGTTTGTTTGTTTTGAATCTGGGGAGAGGAGCAGGGTCAACATGGAGTCAACGGCGAGTCGTGGAGGGCAGTCTGCTTTTGCAGATGGTTAGGACAGGATATGGAGACTCTGTGTTTTGTGGATAGTCTCTGTGGCACCCAGTTAGCCTGCTGCCTCCATGTTTCAAAAGGAGAAACACAGCAGAATAACCAGGGCACTCTGGGACTAACCCGGCATTTAAATGAAACTCAGAGTGTTTCTGTGGCTGCAAAATCTGCTGAGGGTCCTTTTCCCCCACATGTTGATTAACCCACCAGTGAGCTCAGTGTTGTGTGGAAACCCATTTTGGGATAAAAACCAATCAGCTAGGAATCTTGCGTGGGGCTTTGCTGTGTGGGAAGTACATGTGTATAGTAAGTTTCAGACCCAAGGAAAGTTTCACACCTACAAGTCAGGTGTTCCTTGTTTCTAGAAAACAGAGATTTCTAATTAAAACCAAAGTCTTAAAAGTTGAGAGAGAGAGAGAGAGAGAGAGAGAGAGAGAGAGAGAGAGAGAACCTGCCCAAGTTCCTTATACTCTCTTCTCTACTGCTACTATCTCTGCTTCTGACACTACCATCTCCTCCATCCTTGTTCCTCTAAATACTTCTTCACACTGCTTTCCTCTCCGCTGCACCTCAAAAAGCAAAATTCCATTTCTTTTTACTTCAACAAAGCATATTAATTCTCCTACTCCGAGAAAGTGTGGTTGTCTGACAAACCAGAACCTGCAACATTTAGTCCTGAGGTAGCAGATACGTGGGCTTTGTGATCCATGGTCTATGCATTATAGGGAAATGCACAGAGTCTGAAAATATCACAGCTCTGGGGACCATTTCCTGCCAACAACTCTTCCCCGCAGCTTCTAGGTCCATTTGTTACTTAGAGAGATGCCAAGTGGCTCTGGTTTTTATAGATGAGGCAATGTGTACAAGAAGCTTTTTACACTCCCTATTCCCTGTGGCCACACAGCTACCACTTTCTGAGGCCCCACACCACTCCTTGTCTCTCTCTCTTTCTCTCTCTCTCTCTGCTTTTGGCTGTCGTTTTCCCTGATCCTAGCAAATGCATTAAATGAAACTTTTAAATCCTGTTCGGAGTTTATGGAGAGTCAGTCCTTCCCCAGAGATCCACAGATGTGCTACAAGGAAAGTGAGTTTTAAAAGTCACTTTCAGGGTTTCACATAAGAAAAACAATGTCAGATTTAAGAAACGGGGAATTGGGAAGAATAGATGCAAACCAGCAGATTTTTATCATCCCTCACTGAAGTCCACCATTGGGTCAGTGATTAGTGGGAAGCCCTGACAGCCTGACAGAGAGAGAGAGAGAGAGAGAGAGAGAGAGAGAGAGAGAGAGAGAGAGAGAGAGATGGCTTCCTGTAAAAGCTTGCTATATATGACATGACCCATGGGGAGGTATCTGATACTACTTCCTGAAACTGTCTGGAAATGGATCAGAAGCAGGGACACAGCAAGTGGATTAGTAGGGCTGTAACCCTCACAGGCTGTGCAGACAGCCACTGATGCCTAATTGGGTGGCCTCCATATAAGTAGCTTAGCTAATTGCTAGTAAGTGGTATTTTTCTCAAGACTAGTATTATGAATCCCTCCACTCTCTAAAAGATGTATCAAGAATTTGAGCACTGGGCACAGGGAAGACTGCTTGAGGGAAGTCTAAGCACAAAGGTCACAGGACTGTGTTAAGTCCAAGATCACACCAGCTCCGGGTGGATGGCCCTGCGCCTGGTTTCTGATTTCCAAGCCACCTGGTCTCTCATTGGATCCTGGGTCAGCCCTGCTACCGAGTGTCCCTGCACTAAGTCTGAGGGAGGGAGGCACAGGCACACTGACCATAGTGTAAGAACGATGGGTTCCAGTCTCTAAGTACCTGAGTAGCCTCCTCCCTAAAAATGAGGAAGATGGATAACAAAACATTCCAATTCTGAGATTCTACTGAATTTGCTTGTTTCATATTTCCTTGTATCTTAACATGTGTTTTAGATCTCTCCAATAGGTAAGTTAAAAAACATATTTTACCGTTCCAATCTTGGTCCTCTCAGTAGAAAATCCTACCCCCCAGCCAGGACCGGTTTAGCTCAATGGATAGAGCGTCGGCTTGGGGACTGAAGGGACCCGGGTTCGATTCCGGTCAAGGGCATGTACCTTGGTTGCGGGCATATCCCCAGTAGGGGGTTTGCAAGAGGCAACTGATCGATGACTCTCTCTCATCGATGTTTCTCTCTATCTCTCTCCCTTCCTCTCTGTAAAAAAAAAAAAAAAAAAAAAAAAAAAAAAAGGAAAAAAAAAAGAAAAAGAAAATCCTACCCCCCAAAAGTCAAAGGCTCCTTGACTCAGGATATGTACGCTGTTTACAATAATCTAAGCAATATTCTGGACACCTAGCCAGGCCTAGGTAAACAGCAGTTTCTCAGCTGACAGATGACACATCATCTGAGGCAGTGCCTTCAGTATTCCAGATCTCTGTGTTCTCACTGGATGAAGCGACGAAAGCAGAACCCAGTGCGCTTTGGAACAAGTAATCAGCAAGTGGTTGCCATAGGTGTACACACATTCGGACTAATATACGCCGTTGTTTATTAAACTTTGTGTGCATTTCAAAACTAAGTAACAGCCAATTTTTCTCCCCTCAAGTAGTTCCCCTTGGAGCTTCTGCAACAGCGCACAGCAGCTGTTCCCACGGTTTAGAGCCTTCCTTAGCCCTGGCTTATTATACTTGTCATTTTGGGGGAGATGGGGTGCAATGCCAAGAAAGGATTTCAGGGTTCCGTTTGTTCTCTAAGACTCAAACCCAATTTGAAAGCCTGTTGAAGCAGCAAGTCTACAGCAATCTCCCAAACAGGAATCAATAAATTGCCAGGGCCAGCCTGACGGTTGAACCGGGCTGAGGTAGGGAGGTGGGAATTGAGAAAAGAAAGACAGGAAAGTGGGGTCAGGAGGACTACAGGTAGCCATTGACTGACTGTAGCAAGTTTATTAACTGCGCAATGCTTTTTATACACAAAACACTGAATAGGAGGTCTGTCAAGAGGAATGTATTCTTTGTTCCTCTTAATCTCTAAGGGACAGAGCAGAAGGACAAATTCTTGGTATTGAAAATCTCAGTAAATAGTTATAGACTTCTTGGCAAGCATTGAAAGGTTGCTCTCATTCTACTGATAGTAGCCATCCAAACAAGTCTGGGAAAACTGTGTGGGTATGCAAGGACCTTGTCAGCTTACACCCTGTCTCCAACAATAAATCTGTTATCTACCTGCCAAATCCCTCTTAGATATGTGCACAATAGCTCCAATGGGATATGATACAGTCACCTCCACCAGTGGAAACCGTTTCCTAGTGTCTGAATTTACATGCTCATTGGTTAATTGCTTCCATGGCCAATTTCACTCTGTCCTCCTTTCCAGAGACATTCGTATTTTTTAGACACTTCACATGTTTGAAAGTCCAGGATTATATTTATAGCATCAACTGAGATTTTGAAATTCATGGAAAGTATAGGTTAGAGGGAAAATAAAGTAGGTGATATTATCAGTAAGTCATAAATCATTTACAGTGATAACAAAATAGTCTTGAATGTATTATTTATATTTGAGAAATTCAAAATATTTCAGAGGGAGCCTCTACAGGGACTATAGCAAGGATAGCTAGATGCATTTCAAAATAATCCTTAGCA